AGATGAAATAGTCCACGTTCTTATCGATGATGCTTTTCCATCTTACAATCAAAAAACATATCGATGTCCTTTTCAACACCTTCCACATTTGTATACGTTTTCCCATTAAGATGGTGTTGCAGCAAACGAAAATTATGGTAATCTGATGGTGCCATATCTGGAGAATATGGTGGGTGGAGGAAAACTTCCCAACCCAACTCCATAATCTTCCGTTGCGTCAAACGTGCCACATGTGGACGTGCATTGTCGTGGAGAAGAACACCCTTCCAATTAACGGGTGTAGGGCGTTTCTGATGAAGGGCTTGATTTAAATGTCCCAGTTACTAACTATAGATCTCTGCATTGGCAGTTCGCTGTGGATTGAGGAGTTCGAAATTAATTACTCCTTTGATGTCCCACCAAATGCAAAGCATCACTTTCTGTGGATGAAGTCCAGGTTTTAGGGTCGGAAGTGGTTTTTGTCTAGGTCTGAACCATTGTTTTGGTGTTTAATATTCGCATAGAGAATCCATTTTTCATCACCGGTGACAACACCTTCTTTATGGAGTTTTCCCATATTTCTTAGATGTATTGTTTCATGAGAGACATGCAATTTCAGGGCCATTTTACGAGTGTGTTGCCTTGGGTTAGACTCAACAAGTAACTTTGGAGCATCAATATCAATTCCAACATGTCGGTCCCTGCCATCACAGTTTTTAAGGCTAAAGTCACCTGAAGGAAATTTGCTGAACCATCGTTGACACTTACGAACGAACGATATATATTTGAATAAATCTTAATCTTTGTTTCTATTTTTCCATATAAATTCACAAAGATAAGAGTCAAGCATTTGGCATTTGTAAATACTTAGAATATTACCAAAGGTGTCAGTATCATGTAATGTAAGAACAGATTTAATATGTCAGATCAACTGTGTAGTCCGAGTACAGTACCATTACAGAAAAAAAACAACAACAAAAAACACACGAAATAAATGCAAAAAGAATTAACTTAAAGTATACATTAAATGTGATAAATAAATACAAAGTTGGCCAACATTATCATTATACAAATATTGTATATGAATTACTGGAGATAAATTCAAATTGAATGTTTTATCAACCACTATTATGTAAATTAAAAGTAAGAAACTTACGAATTAACAATTAAACTGTAACAAAAGATACCATTATTAAAAACTAATGGATCTTTCTAACGAACAATTGCTGAAATTGAATGGCAGATAAAATATGAAATACTCATAATAAATGGAAATAATATGATGCAAAGCTATAACTATTTTACTTTCTACTCGTTCCAGTTTTTTAGAATTTGCAATACGCTTCAAACAATGGACGTATACCCAAGCTTGCTCCGAGCAGATATGTTTGTTTGTTGTTAAGCGCAAAGCTACACAATATGTGCTGTGCCTACTACGGGTGTATAATTCGAAACCCAGTGTCAAACCTTCTGACATACCGCTGAGCCACTGGGGTAGAGGCTACTATTAAATGATTTTAACAACTAGAATTATTAAAATATTTTGTTAACCTAAAAGTAATTCCTAGTAATCTTAATAGCTGTATTAGAAACATGTAAATTAAAAGTTAATTTGTGATTAAGATCTTTTGTATATGGAGTTCTATACAAAATACACATTTTACTGTTCAACAAAAACATTATATGGCTGCGTTTGTAGCGCCAGTATTACCGCTCATCTTCTCTGTACAAGAATGATGGCATGTAAAGCATAAGAAACAAATTTGCCAATGTTACAACTGAGTTTTGTTAATTTGTAATTAAACCCTATAGATATAGAGCATAGGCCTAATACCAAGGTGTCAAAACAACGTTAAGAATATTTGTAATGGTGAACAGTGACAATCGGATAGACAGGGAACCTGCTAGTTTTAAATAACAGCCTATCACCTGTGTACTCTTTGTCATCAAGAAATTAACGTCGCGTTTTAGAACACTTTTGTTAACAACCCCAAGAAAACGTACATCACGTATAATAGTTAAACGAACTGCCTAAACGTCACGTTAGCGTAGCCTATACAATATGTAAAGTTTAGTATACTCTAATCTTTTATAGTGATGGCACACGACGAGACACACATTCGGCATGTAATGCTGTTTGAATACAAGAATGGAAACAACGCCTCTGTAGCCACAAAGAATATCAAAGAAGTTTATGGAAATGTTTTGAACCCTTGGTAGATTGGTCAGACGAAATCCGTTTCCTCCTATCTTCACGTTGGG